CATGACATCATCCTATTTACAGACCAGCTGGCAGGCTCCCACTAGCATCCACTACTCGAGGGCATTTGTTCTAATACCTCAGAATTTCACCAGTTCTGAATCCTTAAATTCTCCATAGAAAAGCACAACAGAACAAGTATTATTTCAGCCCATGATCTTACTCAAAACTCAAAGCCTTTCTACCATTTCCAAGGCCCCAATTCATCCTGTGCCTACCCCATAAATAACATAGAAACAACGAGGAAGCATTAACTTTGTCATTGAAGGAGGGCAGCTTAATTTTGCAATCAAGAGGGCAGCTAATGCCAGATTGCTTTCTATGTATTCTAGGTGGGAGCCTGGAGTCGTCTGTATGTAACAACATTATGCTCTGCAAGCCCAGGCCTTGGGAACCACTAATGAATGAGTGGACGCTACAGAACGACTTAAACCAAGAGCTATCTTGTGTCAGGTTTTCTTTGAAACCCGTTCAAGTGCAGCTGGCAACCGACACAGCCAAGTTCTCCTGCTACTGTCTGCATCAGAAACAGGAAAGAAAGTGGCTGAGTGACTTGGCTTTTTTTTTTAATCTGTTTTTATTTTATTTTATTTTTTTATTAAAAATTTCTGCCCCCTCCCCGCCTCCCTTTTCCCTCATTCAGAGGAATGTAGATTCCTAGGGACTCACCTGTAAGTTTGTGTACATGAAGATTGCAAATCTGAATTTTGTACCTATGAAGACTTATAAAAAGAATCCTGAGTGTAACTAACTCTCTTTGACTTGTTTTGGTAATTTAATGTTCACAGGAAAATAACTCTTAAGTTTCACTTTCCGAGGAAATTGAAAGCTATGAACATTGCCAGGAGACAAGCTCACTGTTTTATCACGCCTTCCGCCACAAAAGAGCACAGGATAAGACACTCAGTGATATTCAGACCATGCAGTGACTCTAACCAGGGTCAGTTTTCTATTCTTTCTGTAAAAAGTTTATTTCCTTGGAATTTCAGGAGATTTCAAAGTCCTCTGGTTCACTTTCCAACAGATTTACTACTTTTTACTATTTTAACTTCTTCTGACACCCATCCCCCCTCTCTCTCACAGAGAGAGAGAGAGAGAGAGAGAGAGAGAGAGAAAGAGAGAGAGAGAGAAAGAGAAAGAGAGAAACACACACATACACACACACACACACACACACACACACACACACACACACACACACACAAGAATTGCTTTCTACCCTACAAAATCTGGAGAGCGCTGAACAACTTTCTAAAGAGGTGAGTCCTGCCCTGCTTTCTGTGGAGACTGGATACTCTGTGAAATACACAAGACTACAGGTAAAATCTTTGTGGATCTTTTGGTTGAGAGAGGAGGAGGCAGAGCTGGTGCCAGCTGCAGTCAGCAACGAACCCATGGTAGCTGGATTCGGATGATTCTTTCAGGAAGATGGCAGACATCTTTATTCCTCCAGCACAGAGGACTGAGCTCAGGAAAACACATAGCACACATTTCAGATTATAAAACAAACTTTTTAGAGGTAAGTCTGAATAACTGAATAAGGAAAAGAAGGTTTTGGTTATCTTGGCTAGGGAGTGCTTAGAACCTGGTGGCTTTGATGAGTGACTGAGTAAAAGACAAGTTGGTAACAAGAAAAAATCCCCATGAAATAACATTCAGTAAAAAAACGCATCTGGACATCAAGCTGCGTCATCTAGGATTCCCATAGCAAACAACACAAGGGTCAATGGGCATGTGTGGCAGAAAACATCTCCGATTTATAGTTGCTGCGAACACAGTGTTTCAGTGATTTCATAAGCACATTTAGTACTCTTCATTCACTTCTACATCAGATGGAAAGGTGGCATTTTAGACATTGTCGTCCTGTGCTATCCTGAAAGTTAATTTGCTTTGTTTGTTTCTTTTTTTTTTCTTAGTTTTCTTTGTTTTTATTTTCTAGTGGTAAGACGCAGGAAAGAGATGGAGAGTTAAATATAAATAGATACATACTTTCAGAAAGTTCTGAAGACTCTCTGTGTACTGGGGTATGTCCATCATGTGTACTTGTACAGAAGTTTTTAAATGTTGGTCTCAGAATGGTACACATATTAAATTAGTACTGCTAAGTTTATTATTATGTTGCACAGACTTTCTAAGCCTTTACACTACTTCATTTAGTAACTGAGGTATGCATTCTTAAATCGACCATGAAAATTTGTTTTTTATAGCTGTTATTTGACAACTCTATTATTAAAGCTGCTATTTCTCGGAGGTAAACTATAATAATTTGCTTAGTTTTATAAGAATTTTTATCTTTAGTTCTAATTAATACAATGCTAATATAGAAAAATTGGGGTTTATTTGTTAATAAGCACAGGATTTATTTTAAAAACCACCTTTAGTGAATGTCTTATTAGCAACAACATTTAACTACATATGTTAAAAAATTTGACAAAGGATGTTAATTAACTGATTATATTAGATCCTTATGAGTGGGTAAATAACACATTTTTCTGACTTCTAGTATGTCCATTTCTTTCATGGTATGTCTCTACTTCATGCCTTTTCTTTATATCTTGTGACTGACAATTGAAGACAAAAACATTAAATGAGCTTAAATTCTTGCCTCCCTCAGTGACCCTGTTGATATCCTTGTCTCTTCTCTCTCTGAGGAGGGTTTCCCAACTGAAGCAGAGCTAGAAATACGCAACTTTAGTTTTCACTCTGCTTCAGTTTCACTCTGAGGCGCTTTCAACTTTACATACCTGTTCTCTTACCATGCTTCCAACAGTTGTTTCCTGTCCACTTTCTCATTTGAAGCTACTGAATGTCAGAGAATCCTCTTGAGACTTTGTTCTTCAAGTGTAAATTTATCTAAGTTAAAACACTTTCTCATTTTCTATTTTATTCAGTGTCAATTGAGGGCATTTCTTCGTGCCACTGGGGCTGAATATATTTTGATATCCAGGACTTGCTGGCAGAAGATGTGTTTTAACACAAATAGCCCAGATACTACATTATTGGACACTTTGTTGAAATTGTGATCACTATTCCAAAATCAAAAGAAATATCTTTTCAACAGCAAAAATATGAGTGTTGACATGTAAGCAGAATGAATAAAATGTATCACGATATCAAGATCTCCTGTCATGTCACATCAGCTTATATTTTGGAGTAAGAATGTTATCAAAAGCCACAAAATCAATAAAACCTTCATATTATTAAAAACACTTCGGTTTGTGGCATCTTAGGTCAGTATTTGCTGAAAGGAGATTGCTCTTGAGAGTGAGCTTTAATCAGCTCCTTGACTGTTTGCAGATGAGCAGATATTTAGGCATAAAAGTTGGCATTGACTCACCCTCTGTAACATTCTTCATAGTCGCTTCCCTGTGTCTCTTGGGAGAACTTCCCATCATAATCTGGGCCTTTTTCAGCCTGACAACACTGTTCAAAAACTAAGTAAATAGTCCTAGAATATTTAGTACCCTCATTATAATAGTACACACACACGAACTATATCCCATGACAAAAATTACTTACAAATTTAAGCAGATATTAGAATCCATCCTCTAGAGTTATAAAGGATGTATAGAAATTCCTAATCAAGCCTCTCTAGAAGAGGGCATTTGGTCCATTGAGAATTAGCAAATGTGGGAGTTTGTAGAAGGCAGGATCTCAGCTGATTCTTAGAGGCTATCACAGAAGGCCTACAGAGAAGGCAATATGAAAATTATGACAAAAAGACAGCATCTATTTCACAAGACGTGGCAAGGGAAGGATGCTGTGTGTTTTGAAGTATGTGATGTCAATAATATAAAAGAAAAAGATGTGAAAGGTGCAGATTGTCCAAGGCCTTCCAAAATAAAAAGAAACAAGGAATTAAGAAGAAAACAAAAACTTGATGAGCTAGAAAGTTATTTTAGCAGGATGTAAACATGGCCTATTCAGAGAAAACTGGCACTATGAGCAAAGAATCTAAGAAATGAAGCCTAACAGGAAGAAAACCAACTAGCTAATTTCCCCCAGTAAATGCTATCATCAGACAGTACAGTGTGCACCTGGAGAGCAAGGTCTTACACCAAGCAAAACAGCATGCCAACTGAAGCTGGTTAATGAAGAGCCAAGTGGACTAGGGCCAATGCCCCAGCAAGGGTCACCCTCTTGCAGTCAACACGCATTCCTGTACGTGTAGAAATGATGCAGCCTGTTTACCAAAAGGCCACTTCAGCATGTGCAAGTCAGGAATTTGCCAGGGGACAGCCAGGAACAGGTTCCAGCCCAATAAAGAGTGGAAAAGGGAACCAAAGTCTAACATCAATTTTACATAATAGAAAAAGAGCCCAGAATTTCAACCTCAGAGCCCATACTCTGAACACTGAAACAACCACTGATTTCCATGCTTTCTGCTGTCACAACCGTCACTGACCTAAGCCAGCTGCCATCATCAACAGGGACGAAATTCTTAGACTTATTTGTTAACTGAGCAGTTCTCTGGTCACTTTTCACAGGGGCACAGTTGGTCATCAGTTCTCCATTTTTTCACATACACAGCTACGGACAACACTACCACATGGCTTGTTCACCCACCTAGGCACACCCTGTTTCTATTATCTATCCATGTATGTAATTCTGTATGCCGTTATTCTCTTGTAGGCTCGCCCATACTTTGAGAGATGGTGAATGAATACAAGAGAATTGTTCTTCTGACAGGACTGCAGTGTATCAGTGACTATCATTTTAGAATAGTTAAGTCTTTACTAATCCATGACCTACAGCTGACTAAGAAAATGCAAGATGATTATGACAGAATTAAGATTGCCGACTTAATGGAAGAAAAGTTCCAAAAGGATGCTGGATTGAGTATACTCATAAAACTGTATCAAGATATTCCAGAACTTGGAAAGCTTGTTGATACACTTAGAAAAAAGATGGCAGAAGGTAATGGGGGAGCACCCTTGATGTGCACCCTTTTGCTAACCTCCCCAGCCTTGCTAGATCCTTGCAGTGTTTACAGCTGATATGCCTGCCCCTTCCCCAGTATGTGCATTGGGACCTACCGAACGGGAGCACTTCAGATGTTAACAAGTTGTTGAAAATGCAGGCAACTCCTTTCCTAAAAAGAATTCTAATGCATCTGGATGTAGATGTCCTTGGGGGGTGGGTGAAGAAAAGGAAAACAGCAAAACAGAAGTTGCTCAGAGAAAGAAGAGCTTTTAATACAGTAGCATGAATAGACACTTATAAGGTAAGATTTCAATATCACACTTAAAAATACCTAAGTCAATTAATACAACTCCAAATTAAGATATGCCATCATTAATGTATTTTTTTTTTTTTTTGGCAACAAGTGAGTCAATATTTAAGTAGAATCCTGAATCTAAGGGGTGTGGAGAAGTTCCCCTTTGTAAAGTTACTAGGTTCAAAATACATGAAAAGAAGTGGGCATATTGCCCATAGCTGTGGAACATTCTGGACATTTAGCATTCAGTTGATTGGAACAGAGAGCTCTCCAGTTTAAGACTGGGGTTCATGCCAAGATCTTATCTCCAGAAAGTAAAAGGGACCCAAAAGGTAAGCTATCAAATTCACTATTCGTCTATTGCCACACTTCAGATAAGGTCACAATTTCTTCCTCTGTTTCTCTAATTTGGGGTGACCTGCAAAAGATAATCTATCATAAATTCATGTAAATTTTAGATTTTTTTCAAAATAAGTTTGTTTATTTATTTATTTATTTATTTATGTGTTTATTTTACACCCTGGCCACGGTGTCTACTCCCAATCCACCCTCAGTTCCCACCCCCCAGTGCCAGATCTCCCATGAGTATCAACAAAAATGGGATATCAAGTTGCAGTAAGACTAAGCACCTCCCTATGTATTAAGGCAGGGCGAGATGAGTCAGAATAAGGAGTAGGGTCCCAAGAGCCAGTAAAAGAGCCAAGACAACCCATGTTCTCACTATTAGGAGTTCCACAAGAAGATCAAGCTACACAACTGTAAAATGTATGCAGAGTACCTAGGTCAGTCCTATGCAGGCTCCCTAGTTTTTGGTTCAGTCTTCTGTGAGAACCTGTGAGCTCAGGTTTGTTGTTTCTGTGAATTTTCTTGTGGTGTGAACTCTCTGAGTCCTGTAAGCCTTTGTCCGTCTCATGTACAGGATTCCCAGAGCTCAGCCTAATGTTTGGCTGTGGGTCCGCATCTGTTTCCATCAGTTGCTGGATGGTGCTTCTCTGACGGCAACTGGGATAGGTACCAATCGGGTCACAGGAGAAGGCCAGTTCAGGCTACTTATCCGCTGTTGCTAGGAGTCTTAGTTGGGGTTATCCTTGTAGATTCCTGGAAGATTCCCTTGCTCCAGATTTTTACTTAGCCCCAAATGTCCCCCCATTCCAGTAGTCTCTTCAGTACTCTCTCCTTCCTCTTCCCCCAATCTGATTGCTCATGTTCCATCCTCACTTGCCCTCAGTTCACTCACAAAATCTCTTCTACTTCTCCTTCTCAGGGAGATGTGGGTTTACTCCCATAAACCCTCCTTGTTACCTAGTCTCTCTGGGTCTGTGAACTATAGTGTATTTATTCTTTTTTATAGTTAATATCCACTTATGAATGAGTACACACCGTGTTTATCTTTCTCTTCTTAAAAGCAAACTATAGGATAAAAGAGCTAGGATGGTGCTTGATTGCTGCGTATACAAGTCCCCACAAGGGAAGACTATGCTCATTGCACCTGAAAAGAGCAAGCAAATCCTGATGCAGTTCCTGTATCTGTATTGTTTGTTGGTGACAGAGATAAGCAGGAAGTAGTATACTGGAACAATAGCAGGAAATATACCGGGACAGTAGCAGGAAATATACCTACACACAAAAACGAGGCAAAATATCACTGGGTGGACTTCTGCTGCCTTACAACAGGACAGCTTCATTCAGTTTATTGTCTTTTCTTTACTGCATCAGTTGAAAAGAAAAGCAAAAGAAAAGCCAAACACGCTGCAATAGGACCCAGTCAGAACGAATCCAGCACTTCCCACCTTGTCTCCAACATAGAGGAACACTTGGAACTAGGATCAACTATGGTGATGCCTTCATCAAAGGTACGCTAAGATCTCACTGAAGAGGCATCCACTAAGCTTGTTCTCCTCAGTACCTTTCTCTGAGTACTTACTCTAAGCCCTTTATCTGTGCCAAGGGCATAGCAAAAGTGAAGTGAAGGGTCACCAAATTCATGATGTCTGGTCACTCTTTTTGTTAGGACTGCAGGAATACTTTTTTATTTGGTATAACATAATTTTCTGTAACAAAAATATAAAATCATTACTTGCTTTGTGTGTATGTGTGTGTGTATTTTACATATGCATGCATACATGGCATTTGTTGATACCAAAGAAGAACTTCAAGTGTGTGTGTGTGTGTGTGTGTTTAGTTTGCGTACATGTGTATGCATGCATTTGTTGATGCCAAAAGAGAACTTCAAATATCCTGTTTAATCACTCTCTGGTTTTTGCCTTTGAGATAGAATCTCTCCATGAACCTGGAACTTTACTGGTAGACAGCAAGTCCCAGAGACCATCCCGACTATGGGGTAGCGGCAAGCATGAAAAGTTGCGATATGATCTTAGATCCTCCTGCATGTGCAGCAAATACTCTTGTTCCCTGAGTCATCTCTCCAGCCTCCCCATCACTCCCTTTAAAAACATTTGCAAAAGTAGTAATCAGTTGTTAAGGATACAACTTTAAAGGATATGTTGAAGGGCATTAAGCATCAACTTGTACTTTCTAAAACTCAGCCTAGTGTTCTCCATCATCAAATTTTAATAGAAGATTGACATAAATAAGATGTTTCTACTCCTGTATGAGATGATCCTCTTCTCTGGCATTTGTTCAAAGTATTTAGTTCCCAATGAATCAATAGAATCAGAATCCAATAACATCAAGTGAGTTATCTTGTTATTTAAACCATTTTATATACAGTATTAAAAACCGTTATAGGGAACGGGGATAAAAACTTCATAGAGGAGCTCAGCTTTGCTCACACAAGACCCCAACCAAGTTCAATCTCTACCACACAGAAGGGTGGTGACAGGGATTCCTGGGTGCCAAAACAGCAGACAATATGGAGTTGTTTCTTTGGAAAGTTGAGGGAAGAAAAACCCATAAGTGGGAGCCAATTTTGCTGCTAACCTGTTGCCCATAAACAACCCTAAGTTGGACTGAACAAGGTTATCTTTGGTGTTTTATAAGACATACAGAGTCGGGATTCCAAGCCGAACCAGTGAAATTCAGGGCCCAGCAGTCTACGAGATATTCTCATTAGGAAGGGAAGAGGCTAAGTGTTGGGCATCTCTATATGTGATCTATAATACCTCCTGCAGCCCAGGGGGGACTGGCCAAACAGAAGTATTTTTAAAAGGGAAAATGTAAAGATGTGTTTGATCTGATTTTTGAAACCTATTTATCGGGATACAAAGAATTCTAAAAATCTATTTCCCTTCAGAAACCTGAAGACACACTCACCAAATCACCTGACATCGTAACAACACAGTCGTTTCAGGAAGAGCATAAACTTCCAGAACTTTCAACAGCCAACAGGTGCCCAGTTGTAAGTGAACCACAGACTCCTCAGGGGCTTCCAATGACAGGCTACAGCAGCCTCCAGACTCCCCTGGAGCCTCCAGAAACATCACACATCATATTAACAACATCCCAGGGTCCTTCAGCACCATTTTCCACCAGCGATCGGACTTCTCAGGTGTCTCCAGTGATGGCCTCCAGCAGCATCCGCACCTCTCAGGTAACTTCATTGGTTTCTTGTAGTCATCAAGGTCCCCTGAAGTATCAAAAAACAGTGCCTAAAACTGTCCCAGTCTTTCAAGAAAGCCCAGCAACAGCGACCAGGGTTGTCCAGACCTCTTGGATGCCTAAAGCAACAGTGCACAGCAGCGACCAGGCCTCTCAAGTTACTCCAGCAACAATGACCAGTGGTTGTAATAGTCTTCTGATGTCTGCAGCAGCACTATCTGGCAGTTACAATACTCCTCAGCTCACCCCAGCAACAGTGCACAGCAGCAACCAGGCCTCTCAGGTGACTCCAGCAACAGTGTCCAGCAGTGTCCAGGCCTTTCTGGCAACAACAACCAGTGGTGATAATAGGCCTCATGTGTCTGCTGCAAAAGTATCTGACAGTTACAGTACCCCTCGGGTCACCCCAGCAGCAGAACCCAGGAGAGTCCAGGCCTCTCAAGTGATGCCAGCAACAACAACCAGTGGTTACAATAGCCATCAAGTGTCTGCAGCAACAGGATCTGGCAGTTATAATACCTCTCAGGTCACTCCAACATCAATGCCTAGCAGCTTTAATCCTCCTCCACAGTCTCCAGCATCATGGCCCAGCAACTCTAGTATGCAACAGGTGTCTTTGGCAACAACATCCAGAAGTTCCTCTGCTAGTTTGGTGTCTCCAGCAACACCATTCAAGGTAATGATGGGTTGTTCTCATAATATGACAACAGGGATTAGCACAAAGAATTTCCCATGATCCCCCTATGATGTATGATGTTTTATTTTAATAAGTCACTTGTCTGTTTTAAATATCTGATTTTATGATTTTCAGTCCTTCCCTAGATTAATTTTCTACTCCTCCTGCGTTCTGCTCCATTAAGAAACCGTATGACGTAGTGAGCGCCTGAGCATCCTTGTTCTTTAAAGGACGCAATTAACATTTATTTGTTTGCTTTGATGTTTTGTTGTTGTTTGGGCTTTCATCTTTATTTTTCACTCAGTGAACCATAAATTGATATTTTAGTGGAAGATGTGATATAAAAATATAAAGTTAAGCAGGCTATATCACCAATGATTTTTTATCTTTCAATTATACAAATGCCATTTTAGAAAACTTAGGAAAATAGATAATACACAAAATAAATGTTTGAAACTATCTAGAATCTCTTTCTAAAATGCCACATTTCACTATCCAATCTTGTTTGTTTTATCTTTTATTACATATATGAAGAGTATCCTTTATCTACTAAATTTGTATCAAAATGCACATATTTTTCTATAGCGTGCAGTTTTAAAACTTTATTTAAGCAGGTGTGAGAGATGGCTCAGTGGATAAAAGCACTTGCCACATAAGCCTGGGAACCTGAACTTGAATCACCAGATCCCATGTAAAATGTGGACACAGAAACATCCATGTGTACAAACCACATGTGTACCAAAGCAGAGGCTCAAGGCAGAGTGACAAGAGAATCTATAGAAACTGACACATAGCTTATTAGATATGCATCACAGTGAACTAGAGAGACCCTGTCTCAGACAAAGTAGAAGGTGAGAACCAACATCCAGGGTAGTCCTGTGGTCACACACACACACACACACACACACACACACACACACACACATTTCTACCCCCAAAATATTTTTAAAAATACATAACATATTTTGAACTGCTGTTCAACCCACCAATATAGATTTAAATGATTTTGATATCTGAAAAACTGCAGAGTTCAGACATTATAAAGATAACCCTGTGTGGTATGACTTTAGGCTGTTTCCAGTATTTTCCTTTCCTGCAAACTCTGAAAATACCTGAGAATATTTTTTCATTTCTAAAGAAGTGTATATCATCTACTTTTTAAATCCCGTGCACCTTCTGTTGGGTGTTCTTCACACCAATCTGAGGTACCGCTTAAGTCACATTCAGAGTACACTTCCTATGGTTCAAAAACATTGGAGCACACTGAGAAGTCAGACTTAAAGCCCACCATTCACAGGCTTCCAAACAGACCACAGAGAGTGCTGTTGGTTCATAACTACCTCACTACACTGGTCTCTAGGTTTCCTGTAATTGCCACCATACTTCTTTCAAAGTGTGATCCTGAGTTCAGAAATAGTGCAGAGTAGCTAGGTATGGTGGCATACACTTATAATTCCAGAAAAGACTGGTGGACCTCTGTGAGTTCAAAGCCAGACAGTCTGAAATACATAGCAACTTCAGAGTCAGCTAGTAATACATATTGAGACCCTGTCTCAAACAAAAGAACCAAAGAAAATGAGGTTGGGGGAGAAGAAAGAAAAAAGGGAGGGAGGGAAGAAGGAAGGGAGAGATAGAGGGAGGGAGGGAGGGAGGGAGGGAGGGAGGGAGGGAGGGAAGAAGAGAGAGAGAGGTTGTGCATAATGCAAGTATTGTGGAGACAGGTTGTCAAATAACTACCTTTCTTCCTTGTCCAAATCCAGGATTCTCCTGCAGGGCTGCTTGCTCCTCTTATACAAGTGGATGAGCACCTAATATGAATTATTCAGATTAGCAGAGCCCTGGGTGCTTACAGTAGCTGCCTATTTTATAAGACAGTACTCTGTGTGTGTGTGTGTGTGAAAAGATAATGTAATTTAAGCTTTAAAATGTATTGTTAGACTCAAAATGTAGCTTAGAGGAAGAGAATTTTCCTGGCATTCCAGAGGTTTTGAGTGTATTCCCAAACGCCACAAAAATAACAATTCAACCAATTTGCCCACCATGGGTGATTAGTACATGCTGGAGCTACTGCCAGAGCTCCATTTAGTCCCCATTTATTACAGCACAGCATATCAGACTTTGGTTATATTTTTCTACCCTACCTGGGAAAGATATTCCTTAATGTCTGTCTTAACTGTTCCTGGCTTTCCTGTGTGCATTTCATGTAGAAACCAAGACTGAAGAACGTACCTAAGCAGCCTTCTCAGGAAGATGGTCCCCAAGAAGGTCCCAAACAAGTGATGGTATTAAAGGCAACAGAACTATTTACATATGACATGAGAGAAAATAAAATGATGTTTCATGCCACAGTGGCCACTGAGACTGAATTCTTCAGAGTGAAGGTTTTTGTCGTAATCCTAAAGAAGAAGTTCATCCCCAACAACGTCATTGTCATCTCAGATTACACTGGCCACAATGGTTTTCTAGAAATATACAGAGCCTCCAGCGTATCTGATGTGAAAGGCACCAATATGATGGATATTCCAGTTTCCCTGAGACAAAGAGCCAATGCAACACCTAAAATCAATACTATTTGTTCACAAAGAGTGGGGACATTTGTGAATGGAGTGTTTTCCGTGTATGCGGTAAGTCATTGTGTTATTTTGTAAAATTTCATTGGCAACCTCAGATTTTAAGTCGTAACTTGGCAGTTTGGATGTGATCGATTATATGCATGCAGGAAACGAAGGCCTCCCTGTTCAGAAACAGGAAGTGGAGTTTCACACTTACAAGTGTTGCACAGCCTCTTGCCATTCTTATCAAGGTATCACCATGAAAACATTTTTACAAAGAGACTCAACATGAAACCTGGCATTTTTTCTGTGATGACCTATTTGTAGTATTTTGCATCAATACACATATCCTTAAGACTTTGTTTGCCTTCTTCATTGCCCATATGAGTAGCAACTTAAATATAACTAGTACTCGAACCCTTGCCTGATAATTGTGGTGACAAAAAGAATAAGAACGCAAGTTGCTAACAGACTGATTACCTCATCTTTAAACTACTCTCAATTACATCTGATTTACCTATATTTTCTTTATTAATTCTTAGAGAATTTTTTTAATTTATTTATTTCTTTATTAATTAATTAAAGATTTCTGTCTCTTCCCCACCGCCGCATCCCCTTGCCCTCCCCCTCCCCCAACCAAGTCCCCCTCCCTCGTCAGCCCAAAGAGCAATCAGGGTTCAAAGTATCTTGACCAAACTTCTTCCAAAACCATTTCCCCTACCCTATTTCCCATCCTCTTTTTACTTTATTTTTAGAAGAACCTATCCTGAATCAAATAGCCTGGCTCTCCAGTTCTTACAGTCTGCCTGCCCCCTCTTCTGTGATATTTCGTGAGCCTCAAGTGTATGGATTATGTTTAAAATGTATTGATTGGAAGAGGGCACCCCATGGTCATTTGATCTGTACATTGTGGCCAGTTGCACACTTTTCTGATGGTCTCTACCTTCTGCAAAAAGAGCTCCTTTGGGGAGGTCTGGGAGGTTCACTTCCCTGTGCTTATAGAATACGAATTTAGAATGCACTTAGAGATCATACAGGCTCAGGCAGCTGGCAGGAGATTTTCCTCTAGAGTCCACGTCTCAACAATTCGGTGTCGGATTCATCATAGTCCCTCCTAATGAGTGGACCTAATACCCAATGAAGTCACTGCTGGCTACTCCCAGGATGTAAGTACCACTCTTCCACCTTTCCAAAGATCTTGCCATGCTGACCATTGTTCAGGTTCATTTCTAGCATACCTGGGATGGGATTGGACTGTTAATTGTTCTTCTCTTTGGCAGTTTACATGGATTCTTATGAAACTACAAGAGTTAGTCATCCATGAGGAGGCTTCTAGGCCAAATCCAGATCAGTTCCTCCAAGTTCTGTGTCTGAACTATGTAGTGCCTTCAGCAAAAGGGCTGTACATTCTTTGCCTGGCAGTAGCCTATATTGTTATTGAGGTCTGCTGGACTGCCCTGGTTAATAAGTTGAAAGAAAGTATTCCATTCCTGGCACTGGAGATTTGGTTAGTCTAGGAGGATTTTTTTTTTGGTGGTGGGGGTGGGGGGAGGAGAAATGCCATAACTTCAATCCAACTACATATAGGTGTGCGCGCGCACTTGCACGCATGTGTGTGTGCATGCATGTGTGTGTTTGTGTGATTGTATATGTAATTTAAATTAGAACAAAATAATACATTTCCCTATGTTTTTTTCCATACATCCTTAATATTAATTAAACCTCCTTCCATCTCCCTCTGTGTTGTCGTATCTCCTCCCTCCCCAGGTAAGTGTTCCACACTCATTGTTTCTCATTTCTCCATAGAAATCATGCCCTACTATTCCCAGCCTTAACGTTTCTGTTATGGTCATTTTTTACTTTCCTGGAATCTGATTTTACTCTAGGTTACTCACTGAATCTAAAGATTTGGAGCTTGCATCCACAAATAAGAAAAAAACATACCTATTTGTACAGAGGGCACAAGGTCCTTGTACTCACAGATAAATACTAGGGAAACCAGGAATGTTAAACACGCAGGATTGTCTCTTCAAAGGAAGAGATGTATAGCCTGTTCTCCATCCAGAAGGCTGGGAATGGATGCGGTTAATAGTCTAGTCACCTCTGTGCTATCCGTGGGGTCACATCTGACTCCCCTAGACTCTTAGGTTTGTCTCATTCTCCCTAGGCTTTTATCTTGAGCATTGTTTCTCAGTCGATAAAATTTTGCCATCTTTATGGAAGGGGGCATATGTACTTTAAAAAAAAGTTTCAATGTAAACATGTCTTACACCTTCTTTTATACACAGGATTGAGTTAATTGTCATCAGGAAACCTTAGTGCTGGGTGTGGTGGCGCACGCCTTTAATCCCAACACTTAGGAGGCAGAGACAGTTGAATCTCTGTGAGTTCAAATCCAGCCTGGTCTACAAAGTGAGTTCCAGGACAGCCTAAGATACACAGAGAAACCCCGTCTCAAAAAAANAAAAAAAAAAAAAAAAAAAAAAAAAAAAAAAAAAAAAAAAAAAAAAGTCATAATTGTACAGTGCTTAAATATGCCTGAAAATAAACTGTCCAGTGTCAGACTTTAGACATTTAAAATAGCACCTGCGACTGAGTCAGTTTAAATCAGATTTCCTTCCTGCCCCACATGGCCAGTCACTCTGCTGACCCTGGGGTTTGGAGAGACCCTCTACATATTTGTCTTTTGGGGTCTGTGTTGCATGACTCAGCATATTTTCTAGCTTCAAGCATTTATCTGCAGATTTCATTTTTCACAGCTAAATAGTATTCCATTCTATATATCATTATCCATTTGTCATCTGAACATTTAGATTGTCATCCTCTTCTAGCTATTGTAAATAAATCAGCAATGAACATAGCTGAACAGGTACTTATGGAGAAGGGTGTCAATTCCTTAGAGCATATGCCAAACATTGGGACAGTTGCTCGTAGCTTTTAGAAAAATCTCCACACTGATTTCCAGAGTGCCTGTACCAGTTTGCAGTTTCACCAAAGGGTTACCCTTTCCCCACAAAACACATCAGCATTTTCTGGTCAATGTTTTCTTGTTCTTAGCCATTCTGACTGGATTTAGATTCATCTAGAGATTGTTAAGCACGTGACCTCTACGTTAAATCTTTTTTTTAATTGATTTTTATTGAGCTCAACATTTTTCTCTTCTCCCCTCCCTGCCTATGTTAAATCTTAAGAAAAGCAAATGTAAGAGACTCGAAAAATATAGCTTTGCCTCTCAAGTTATGACAGGAGACAAGTAATATAGAGGAGACTGAGGAATTCTTGGATTTAGGCATGCCTTTCAGCCCCAGTGTCCCTGCAGATAGCATACATAGATGACCTTGTTCAAAGCATGGTCTCGTAGTCTGCTGTAGATATGCAGCAGGGGCCTGTTGCTTGTATCTGTGGTGTTCTCTGCAGTATGTCCAGGTGACCATGCAAGTACATCTGGCTGTAACCTTAACAACACAAACAAAATACAAACGAGAGAAGCAGGGCTAAATGATGCAGATTTAGTGGTTGAAATATTTGGAACAGAATGAACACAAATGGACACTGAGAAAACATCATCCATTTAATTGGGACTTAGTCTCAGACAAACAGTGAGCCAAAGCCACCCTTCTTAGTTCTTGTGGCATTATCTAAGAAATCCACAATGGCAGCCAACTTTATTCTGGTTTCTCCCTACTTGGGCTCCTTAACTCTCATCTCTACCGATTTGGTAGAAGGGAAGGTTTTCTGTAATAACCCATCAGATGAAAACCTTAAATATGAAAAGCTTGAGAGACATTTCCAAAGACAGGGTTTGTGAACCAGAACCCCCAAAGCTGTTTTGTACCCATAATTCTAAACCTAGGCCTGTATTTGTCTTATCAGAGACACGCTAGCACTACTTAAGTCTCACAGATGTCACAGCACTTGACGTATTTCTCAGAAGATGAATGTTAATAATTTCTTTTTCAGAAAATAGTGAACGATGAATTCATTTACTACGGAATAGAAGACAACACAGGGAAGATGGAAGTGGTGGTACACGGACAATTTACCAATATGTACTGTGAGCCAGGAGACAAGCTTAGACTCTTCTGCTTTGAGTTGAGCTCATGTGTGGATACGTGGCAGCTGAGATCTGGGAGGCACAGTTACTTGCAGGTGAGTGCTCTCAGGCATTGCTCTTCTTCCTAGCAATCACTTTTAATACTATGCTAAGGCTTGGCTGCAGCAGAGAAGAAATTCAGCTTTAAACACTAACGTATGTAAACATTTTCTTATCATCATGTTTAAAATGAGGTAATTTTTTCTTTGCTTTGATTCTCTTTGCTTTTGTATTTTTGAAAATATATTTTACAGAATATATTCCTATCACAATTTCCCTTCCCTTTTAAATCCTCCCAGATCCTCCCCACCTTTTCAGAAACCATCTACCGCCACCCCTCTTTTTTCTAATATATCTTTAGGAAACAAACAGGCAAAACAAAATAACTAGGATAAAACAAGAAAAACCAGGAGCAAGTAACACATATACATGCACAAACATGTACATACACACACCCCATAGAAACAAGAAATCAGAAAACATAACATACAAGCAGTGTTTTTTTTTTTAAAAAAAAAAAAAGTTCAAAGCATTATATAACAACAACAACAACACTACCCTTGAATTCATTTTGAGTTAACCATCTACTTTTAAGCATGGCTTGTATACCCAGTGAAATTCCATTAGAGAAAATGAAGTTTCCTTTTGCAATCAGTTGTCTATTAGAAATAGCTTCTTGGTTAGGGATAAGAACTTGTATCCACTTCCCACTCACAGTGTTGGGATCCCATCTGGGATGAACTTGTGTGTGCCCTGTGCATTCTGCCTCACTCTCTGTGAGCTCATCTGTCTGCCCTGCTGTATTTAGAAGGCCTTGTTTCTTTGGTGTCTTCCACAGCTCTGCTCCTACACTCTTTCTGCCTCCTTCTCCACATAGTTTCCTGAGCTCCTGGGGTGGAGGGTTGATGAAAGCATCCCATGTGGGACTGAATGTTCCAAAGTCCCTCACAATTTGCATATTGTCTGGATTTGGGTCTCTGGGTTAGTTTTCAACTACTGCAGGCAGGAGCTTCTCTGGTGCTGACTGAGTGAGACATATAGGCATATGTGAGATCTATACATATAGCAGAATGTCATCAGGATTCACTTTATTGCTGTGTTCCTTTAGCAGAACAGTAGTGTTTGGTTTTCCTCTGGGTCCCTGGCCTATCCACTAAATGTAGTAAATCAGAGTGTAAAGAGGATATTCTCAAACTATTATTTCCTAAGTTAAACAATAAAACTTGTTATGTTTATCAAAATAGGGAAATTATTTGATAGGAATTTGGGTCTAATATGTTTCAAATTCTGGCTCTGATAGTTTCAAATTTACTGAAGGCCTTGAAGCTCATGGACCTCAATTATAACATGAAAATAATGTTCATCACAGAGGATCATGAGCAGAACTCACAACAAACACCATACGTTTCACATGGGTGCCTTAAGCAAATGAGAGCACAACAAAGCAAAGTCCATGCTCTTGTCACACAGTGGGATTCATTAAAACTAGCAAAGACTAATAATAATGCGTAGATGAAATATAAGAACTGACCTATTCAGTCACGTGGAAATGTTTTCATATCTCTTTTATTCCCAGGACCACAAGTCAAACATTCCTAACGCCCTCCCAAACACCTGCATCAGGCATGCCCTCTGTGCCTTCCTCCTAACCAACTGTGCACCGATGTCTTCCACTCAATTCCTGCCTTCGATCCTGCGATTTCTCCTTCCCTACCATTGCTCCACCATATTGCCTGCTCTTCTATCTGTGCTCAGGCCTGGCAGGGTGCAACTAGCTCATTTTACGCTCTCAAGAAGTGGGAGCCAAGTTGATTCAAAGGATAGAGATTCGATAAAGGAGTTAGGTAAAGAAAGATAAGTGATTCATAGGGGCAGTGTGAATAAAGAGGAGTGTGACCAGCTTCATCTCAGCTAACCTGATTTCATCCTTGTCTTCTTCAAGGTCATCCGGGCTAGGAGGAGAGACATAGAATTCAGCTATGGAAATGTACCTAAATTCCAATTTAAACACAACTGAACAACACTGACAATAATGTTTATGATGATATGATGTAAGTGCAGAAAAATGTGTATGTGGGGAGGAAGGGAGGGGGCAAAGAAAAATGTATAGCTCAATAAAAACAATTTAAAAAGCAAAAAATGTGTATCTAGCATATAGTGATATATATACATATATACGGCTCTTAATTTTAGAAAATAGTGTTCTTTTACTTTGCTTTTTGTACATTTTAGATTCTCTATATTTTGTATTTTCCATCTGTATATTTCAACTTGAAAAAATAAGAATAAACTTTTTATCTAAAGCAGTTCTTCCCCAGAAGTCTCTTTCATCCATTTATAAGTTATTATAAAACACATATTGTTCTCTGCAGGTTTGAGATACACAACAACTTGTACTTTGGGTAGGATAGTCAAGGACAGAGGCCTCTTTTCAAAGCAAAAGGCTATGTCTGATGCAGAAAAAAAAAAACAAGTTAAAAGAAATGTAGGGTCTGGAGTGCAGTCTGTACTGTAGTTACTAAGGCTTATGCTTCAAGGAAGGGATTCATTGGCTAAAAAAAAAAAAGGGAGGGAGGAGGTTGTAGGAAGTTAAGGCCTACCAGGCCAGAGGGGGTCAACTTGGAGTCTGCCTGGCCCGCAGGAGGTCCTGATCATGCCTAGTCAATGAGGAGTGACCAAGCTGTGTTTCCTGAGTGCCTAGCAACAGGCACTATCAGAGATGCTGATCCTGCCTAGCCAATGAGGGACAAACATGTGATGTCAACTGTCAAGGGATCAGAATGACTGGGTGCTGGGAGGGTTTATAAGTTTTCCCCCTGTTGTTAAATAAATGAGTCTGCTGTATACCTGACATCTACTTGACTCTCAATGTCTGAGATGTTGACACTGTACTTCTCACCCCCTCCCCACCTGAGGAAGGCACTAAACACCTATATAGCAAACTGTGGATTATCTAGCTTCATAAACAGCATGCTACTGAACTTCAGGACACATACAGACTAACTGAACCTCAGTAATGGCAGGTGGCCTCACCACAATACTTTCTGCAGCAGACAGGCCACTGGGACAAAAATGTAGAGAAACTTCAGAATTAAAAGGTAATATGCATCCAACAGACCTAACAGATATCTGCAGAGCTGTCTACCTGAACTGAGGAACATACATTCTACTCAGCAGCCGATGGATGCTCATCTAAAATTGACTACATAATGGGATGCACAACAAATCCTTACACATTTAGAAAAACTGAAATCCCTCTATGTATCCTATCTGATCACAATGCAGTAAAGCTTAAACTCAACAGCAAATAGCTGTGTGGACTCTAGAGTCACAGAGAAGAAAATTTGCCTACATACAAGTTATAGAGAACCCAGTAGAATATTTTGAGGCTTGAGATATTTACAGCTAAGCCAATGATTTTATATTTTTAGTTAATTTTGTAAGTTATAAATTTGGACCCATTATTTTTTAATATGGACATCAAATTGTAAAAAAGTGTCCTTTTTATATTTTTGGGGGTTTATACTTTTATGAAAAAGAACAGTATATTTTGACACATGACAGATATTGCCTTCCCTATGCTATATAGGCTTATCATTGCACTAACATCACAATGTCATTGTATTATTTCAATATCTTTAAAAATATTTTTTAAATTATTTCAGTAGGGCTCACAATATCTATCTTTAATCACATAGAATATACTTCAAAAATATTATACTGCTTTAGATGCTGTATTAAAATTTTGCAAGAAGTATTATATTCTTAAATTTTACCTCTCATACTTTGTATTGCTCCCATGTATTTTATTTTTAAATATTTTTTAAAATATTTATTTATTCATTATGTATACAATAGTCTGTCTGTGTGCATGCCTGC